CTCACTACTTAACCACATCAGCTTTTCTTCAAGAAACAAAATTTTTTAAAAAATTAGAATATTCTAGCTTAAAATGGAGGTTTTACAACCAGCACTCTGGCCTCAGACTACATGCCAGCTCTGTTTTCTGTTGCTCCTATATAAATTATCACAAAGCCCATGACTCAGAACAACACAAATTGGAAGTCAGAAGTCCTAACAGCAGAGTAATGAAAGAGTTTAGTTCCTTCTGGAGACTCTGAACAGGAAGCTGTTTCCTCTCCGCCCACAGCTTTATGTGCTCAGCTCTGTTTCTGGGCCCATGGCCAGCAGAGAAGCATCTTCCTCCTCCCTGGATCCTATTTTCCCCCTTACATCTTCTTTATCTTCAGTCTCATCATTTTAACTTTCTCCTTCTAAGTACCTTTGTGACTCCAACAGATCCAGCCAGGTAATCCAGAATAATCTTTTCATCCCAAAGTCTTAACCTTCATCACTCTCCTAAAGTCCCTTATGCCATGCCAGGTAGCAGATTCACAGGTTCCAGGGACTGGGAGGATATAGGAGTCCTTCAGCAGCTAGTGGCATTATTCAGCTTACCACAAGCTCTTTATGAATTCTCACTAAATTACCTCTATGCTCAGCCATCCCAGCCAAAAGAGCCTCTAAATATGGTTGCATAATTGTTCTTCGTGGATGTCCAAAAGTGCTAGGCTTCACAGTCTGATTAAATCCATGGCCAGCCTCTCTACTGTCACTAGGACTTCCTTACACCACAGGGCACTTTGGAGGTAATGGGAGCTTTTCTGTTTTCTCCTATGCTTTACCTTTGCTACAGATCAGTCACACGAGGGAAGAGAAAAGACATGGAGCCCAGATCCCACTCCCTCCGACTCCGAGTCAATGTACATTCAGATGCCTTTGCTTTGCTGACAGCTGGTTTGCAGAACCAGGAGACAAGGAATTCTGTTGTTTTAAACCCCTAGTTTCTGGTAATTCATTACAGAAGGTCTAGGAAAATACTAGAAATAGTCAAGCCAGTTGTGGTGGTGTACACCTATTATTACCCCAACACTCTGGGGGGCCAAAGCTGGAGGACTGCAAGTTTAAACTCGGTATTACCTGATGACATAGCGAAACTTTGTCTCAAAATACGAAATTAAAAAAGGGCGGGAGCTATAGCTCAGTGTGAAAACCCTGGGTTCAATCTTCAGTACCAAAACAAAGCAAAGCATTTGCTTGAATCTCTCCTGACACTGTACTTTCACTTTCAGTAGACTTATTAAGTTTTATTTACAAATAACTTTTGGCCCTCAGATTGTAGTTTGTCAAATAATTTATTACATTCATATTAAAATAATATTTAGGTTGGTCCCTGAATTCTTTTTGGTGTCTCTTCAAAGTTTGTACCCAAGGCAAGTGCCTCAATTCCTCACCCTGGTTCCAACCCTTTGTGCCTAAGATTTTTTCCCCCTGAATCCATTAGCTTGCATTTTTTTTTCCCAGCCGAATTACTCTCCTTCCTGCCAGCTTCTCTCCCAGGGTCTTGACTGCTGAGCAATATAATATTTCTTGGCTTCCAACAGTTATGCCAATAGATTGCATCTGCGAATTTTAATGCCATAGCTGATATTTCCTGTGGGTAATTAAGAAAGGTGCCAATTAAGGTCAATTGTAACCAAACGCCTCCAGGTCTCCCTAGATACTGCCCGTGGGGGAAGAGAGTAGTGTTATTGCTAGGGTATCCTTTGTCATTTTCCTGCCACACTTATTCACCCTAATACCCAAGCATGCACCATTTGGATATCATATTGAGCACACTGCAAAAAAAAAGATGGCAGCTAATTCAAGAGCAGCTCCTCTGATGCTGGTCACCTTGGTTGCTCCCTCACCCATAATGTGTTTCTTTCAAAGTGCTTGGCTTTGAGTATTGGACTTGCGTACATGTGTGTGTTTGTTTTGTTTGTGTAGTATAGTGAAACAGCCTGCTCACTGACTCATGCTTGTCTGCGTGGTTGTGGGTGCACCCTGCAGACGTGTGTCTTGCGAGGGCTGGAAGGAGCATTAGACTTCCAAGGTATTGGGAAATTTGGGTTCTACTGCAGTCTCGCTGCACAGGCCTGTGTGTGTCTGTGACAAGTCTCTTGTTTCCTTTCCTCTTGTTTTCATCTGTAACATGGAGTAACAATTTCTAGCCTTCTTTCTCATAGTGGTTAAAACTTAAGAGAATAATACATATGCAAGTGCCCTGTTGATTGAAGTACCTGCACCAAAGCTTACAGCATAATGTGGTTCACTCAATTTTTTTTTTGTGGTTCACAAAACAGCGGAAATAGGGATTGGTGGTAACTTACGCTATATTCAAAGAATAATTATTTTTTTTCCTCAAAAATAATTGACTCCTTGGCAAATAGATAGATTAAATGGATATAAAAAAATTCCATTTTACAGCTGGTATGTGTGCACATATATATGTCTATGCAACTTTGGGAAAACGTCAGGAAGGGTAACCACCAAAGCTAGATGCAAAGGAAAACAGACCTATCTGGAGAATTAGAAGAGAGAGCTAGCAAGGAAAAGTTTACTTCTCGTAGCATGTCGTTCTTAAGTGGTAGAATTAGCAGTTAGTATCATTTAGTGATTTTCAGTGTTTTTAATTTTTAAAAAATTAAGGGAAAAAGTGCTACATAAACACCAAGTCTTTAGCTCCCTAAATGTGCCAGATGATTTTACATACCTTTTCCTTAAGGCGTGCATTTTTAATCCTTACCCCACACATATACACCTCTCAAGGGATCGGGGGACCAACCCCACAGTGATAAAGGAACTTGCTCAAGGTGACCTTCCCAGTAAGTCAGAGCGATAGCCCATCTCCCACTCCATGACCATGTACTCTTTCCAAGATCACATTACCTCTGTTGCTATAAAGGTCTCTGATTTGCATCTGCTCATTCATCCATTCCACAAATCCTCACTGAGTTCTTACTCTGCTTAGCACCCTGCTTAGTTCCAGAAAGAGTCTCAAGGATGAATAGAGCAACATTTTTGCATTTGAACAATTAAAAGTCTCTGATGTTGTTAATAAGAAGCAGAAGAAAAAACAATGCTTCGTGGGCATAGCGGGAGAGGGTAAACATTTGGGAACTGTGCTTTTGTGCTGGCTACTCATGAGGTTGAGTCAGAGGATGGCTCTGATCACATCCTTCTGACAATGTCCCCTGGGTTGCAACACAGTGAAGACTCTGGATATTTCCGTCCATACCCAGTTTCATTGCTTTTGTCCACTGTGGATGTGTCAGTGGTCAACACAGAGACCAATGTATCTGCAGAGATTTGAAAAGAGAGAAGTGCTCTGGTCATGTTAGGAAACGTATAGAAATCAAAGTTAAATCAACAATTGCTAGAAGTGGAAACTACTCTCTGGAGGATCCTGTAAATATATATATATAAAAAATAAGGCCCTGACTCAAAATAATGAAACACAGACCCATGATGGACCTGTATGTAGTTATTTTTAAAGCTGAAAATCCTCCACATATCTTTTTCTCCTTACATAGCTGGGAACACAGGTTGGGTTCTATTTGATATGTGTGTTCAAGGAATTTGTATACATAGTCACTGTTAATTGGAACCCCCAGAAATGGCATCAAGAAGAAGTGGCTCGCACTTGTAATCCAAGTTACTTAGGAGGTTAGGCAGAAGAATCACAAGTAAGAAACCAGTCTTGGCAACTCTGTAAGACTATGTCTTAAAATAATAATGACAATAATAAAAGGAAAAGAAACAATTTGGGGATGTAGCTTAGTGGCAGAGCACCCCTAGGTTTGATCTCTTGTATGATGAATAAGTAGATAAACAAATAGGAAATGGAACACGAACCAGGACATGTGGAATTGTGTAAGTGGAAAGGAGGAGAAGAGCCACTTGTGGAAGCAGTGACACCTGAGATAAGATACAGACAGGTGCATGAGCGCACCTGCTGGGAAAGATTCCACAAGCTGTAGAGCTTCCAGGAACCCTGGCAACAGTCTGCTTGCTACGCACCTTTACTTCACAGCTGAGCCATCTGCGAGCCAGACAGTGGACTGACTTGCACTTATCACACCACCGTACTCACCTGGTGGTGCATAAAGAGGTTTCCAGTCCACTTTACAGTGTTTAATGAATGCCCTGTGAACGTGTTGTCCCCAGAAAGTCACAGGAGTTCAGAAACAGGAAGTTGAAGTCTGAAAGGGATTTTGATTTAAGAAGAAAACACACGTAGGGAATGAATTTGGAAAAAGCCGTCGGAATTTAGTTCTGCGAGGCCATGGATACCAGTCCAAGGGGTGGGACCTTGTTTCCCACGTAGGTTACAGAGAGCTATTCCATATGTTTGAGAAGAGCTCAAATAGCAAACCTGAAATCATTTTGTCCTGAGAAACAGAACTATATCTAAAAATAATTTAGCTTGGATCAAGCAAAAGTCTTTCTGGGTTTAAAAAGTAATCTCTGAATCCAAAGAAAAGATTACCTAGATTTTTCATGCATTCTCTCTGAAAGGAACAAATATCCTTTTATATCTTCTCTTGTGGAAAGTGTATGAACTTTATTTCTTTCTCTGATATAAAAGTACTACATGAGCATTTAAAGTATTTCAGCAAAATGAAGAACCAAAAATGTTCCCATAAACTCACCTAAAAACCAAACGTAGTTAACATTTTGGCATATTTTCATTCAGTTGTTTTCTACTCATTTTTACATAAGTGAATTTCATAACTCTACATTACTTTGTGACTCCTATTTTTATTTCATCCAGTGCCATGAGTACATTTTTGGGTTACGTAGTCATTCATTTTAAAGACTATAATCAATTTTTTTATTATTCATTAAGTAAAAAATATGTATACAATTCTGGGTTGTATTTTCTCCTATTTTAATAGCTTTGCATTAAGTAATACATGCTTCATATTTGGAGGAAAATATCCATAAAATTAGTTTGTAGAGGTGGAAAAATATCTAGGTTAAATGTTTCTACTCACCTCTTGACCAATTTTCCTTTGTTGTTTCTCTTCTGATCAGCACTATATTCCCTTCCTTGTTCTGGAAATTGACCGCCTATGTTCTCCAGCCTCTCAGATTCTCAGATATTATCAGTGCTATGATTTATTAGGGGGATTCCGCTTTGCATTTCCTAGCACAAGGCTGAGTCTGCAGGCTAAAACGTCTGCTGTCTTGTCCAGGGAGTTGGAAAGTACAGCTTTGCAACAGGAAGATTAATGGTGCTTTCCTGCTCTCCATGGCCTATGTGTTTCTCATTATCTCCCTTTGGATGAGATCACTGCCTTTTGTTCTGAAGCCACAGGAGGTTGGTCTTCACTTCTCCCAGAGCAGGAACTTCTCTTGGGCTAGCTAATACTAAGGACAAAGCCAAATCACCAGCCTCTTGTGCAGTCAGAGTCCTCTCCTCTCTATTCCACCAGGCATAGCTCTGCTACAAGCTCTGTTATACCCACCTGCTCTTGTGCTGGGTCTCCTGACAAGAATCCCCACTCCCAGCTTCTTTCTCTTCCAATCCTTCTTACACACTGCATCAAGATCAAGTTTTCCTCAGGCAAAATTCGTATCAGCCTACAGATCTGCTCAGCTCTGCTCTAACATCTGTGGCAGTTCTTTGTTACCCATGCAAGAGCAAGATCTAACACTTTGCAGCAAATCGACAAATGTTCACTGTGTACTTTTCACTGCGTAACCCACAGCAATAAGCACCACAAAGGGGTCAATGTCTACTTTGGTAGCCGAAAGTGACGTGTGGGAAGTTAAGCAATAAGGCTCCAGATCCATCCCTTTCTACAGAACTCACACTCAACAGTTTCAAAGGTGATTCATTTTTCTCTCCCCAAATCTATGTTTCCCACTACCTGGGTTCTCAAAACAATACACATTCAAGCTAGAGATGTGGAAAGATTTGGGAAGCAAAAGATTTTGGCTTAGCAGAGCCCATCAAAATCCAATTATTATATTATATGCTTTCTTAGCTGTACTTAGGGGAATAAAGCCATATAGAAATTCGTAAGACATCTCCTCACTATTGTGAGCATGTAATCTAGTGTGAGAGACATAGAGCTTGCCAGAGTGGTCCCCTGTCCAATGTCACCATAGTCAGAAGCCTACGACTCCAGATCTGCCTACTCAGTCATTCAGTGTAGGAAACACCAAGTCATCCCCACGTGTTTCCTTGGTATTCTTGTTCTTGTTTTCTACAAAATCCCAATCAATGCAGATATTGGGACAATCACAACAGAATCTGTGGAGCACCTCATATTATCTGACTTAGTCCTCACAACAAATTCACAAGGTATGTGTTTGCTACCTTCATTTTACATGGGAGAAAACCACCTTGTAGGGAAGTACAGTCACACAATCAAGTCCTTTGAGTGCCACAGGGCCATGTTTAATTTCTAAACTCTATAGACATTAGGAGCGAAAAGGCATGAATGATACTGTCTTCTATCATGACTTTACAGTCTCAGGAGAGAGGTGGCCACATAAATAGTGATCTCCACATAATGTGATCTAAAAGCAGAGTAAATATGCAAAAGTTGCTGCAAAAGATAGAAAGACATATCTAGCCCAATGTGTGATTTGGAGAAGATGGGTGTGGAGGCAAGAATCGTGTCAACTGAATTGCAATTTGAATGAGGATTTTGTTAGTCCATAGATGGAAAACTACAACATGAATTCAAGAGAAGGCTGATTCTCCAATTCATGTTTTCCCCACTCTCCCCTTAAATAGTAACTTTTTCAATCAATAATCATTTGAATGAATGAATGATACTTCTTCTACTTTAGAGAGTGACTGAAATGTCAACTCAAGCTGTAACTTTGTCTTTAAAATCCCCATATGCAGACCAGCTAAGCTAACATACCTCCTGGAATTTCATAAGGATTCCTCAGCACAGGCCAGGCAGTTCTCAACATTAAGTGGCCCAATTCACTCCTACAGTCTTTTAGAATTGGTTGGAGGTTAGACAGATTCTAGAATTGAGGGAAAAAGAAGATTTCCCACATATGTCTTCTCAAAATGCTCTGCTAATATCCCAAGCTAAGCAACAAAGAGGGAAACTGAACTAAAACTAAAGATTCTAAGCTACAAGAAGGAATCCCACTTTAAGCCTCTCTGGCTCCAGATTACTCTGGATGAGGAAGAAAGATCCCAGTTCTCCTACACCCACTTCCTCTGAAATGTGGTGTGAAAGAAAAAGCAGGTTCTCCAGGACTTGGAGATTGGAGCAGAGTGCCCACATCCTCAAGTAATTTCATGAAGCCTGCCTCCTTCCTCCCACGACCTCTGGCTCTAATCCATCATGCTCATGGAACAGATGCCTCCATGCCAGTCCCTGTTCTGCATTTCCTGCTGCTTGGCCCAAATCTCAACTTCCTCTGTGTGTGCTTGACATGCACACGGAGCCATCCTTGGTGTGTGTGTGTGTGTGTGTGAGTGCGCCATAACTGCACAATTCAAAAACACTAAGTAAGAGACAGGTGATGAAATTCTCCAGGAAAGTTGACAGAAACACACCCACACCATCTGAATCTGGCTGTACTGAGAACAGCTCAAGATTCAGGCTAGGACCAAACAGTACTTTTTCAGGTGTAAATCACAAACACAACCTATATGAGGATTGATTCTATTTCCTTTTGGTCACAAACATATTTCTACTCAGAACTCCCTCTTCGTGCTTTCAAATTCTTGGGGAAAGTCAGACTTACTTTGAACAACTAAAGAAATAAATTTGTAGATGAAGGAATGAGCTTAATGAAGTTATAATCATTTCTGCAAGGAAGGAGGTATTAAATGAGCTTTGGAAAGTCACACATTCTGGATACTACTATCTGGATTAGTTTGGACTCAAGATTCTTTGTTGTCTACCTGGGAACTTTGATTTATGATTTACCTTCTCTAAAAACACAGATGAATTAAAATGGGCTTACAGATTTTGCCATGGGCAAAAGATCACAACCCCTTCTTTCCTTTGAGGAAATATTTAGGGTTCATTTTATAAACCAGGTTCAGTAAACATTTTTTCATAATGGTCCAAATGATAAATAATTTAGGCTTTTTGGCTCATATGTCTCTAGCATAATTATTCAACTCACCCAATAAGAATATACAAGAAGCCATACATGATATGTAAAGAAATTAAAGAAATAGAGCTACGCTCTAATAAAACTTTATTTATAAAACAGGTTTGTGGGCTAGGTTTATTTTATGGACCATGAATAACCAACATTTGTAATAAAGTGTTCTCTCTGTACAGGAGTGTCACAGTGAGGAGAAAATAATATCTTCAAATTGAGAATAGAGAGTGGGGACAGGAGACTCTGAGGCTTGGTTATTCTATCATTATCTAAGTAACTATAAGCAGTGTCAGAATCTGCACTTAGCCTTCAGTCCACATGAGATTTGTGTGTCCTACATCAGGACACAGATAGGTCTCAAATACCATTTTTCAAATTCTCTTTTTATCTAATAGGACTGAAATGATGAAAATCTCGATGTTGTCAATATGTCAAGTAGCAAAAATCTACTTAAAACTGTGTACCATAAAAGCTGATACTGAGCTACATGTGGTAGCATCCACCTGTACTCCCACAATCTCAGCATTAAGAAAGGCTGAGGCAAGAAGATCAAAAGTTTAAACCCAGTCTGGGCAACTTAATGAGATCTTATCTTTAAAAGAAAGAAAGAAAGAAATAGATATAGATATAGATATAGATATACATTGAACTATATGACAGACTCAGGCCGTAGCTAAGAGGGCATTATAATCCTTTAAGAAGAGAAACTCCTACATGAAAGAATTAGTCAATACAAGAAACTATAATTTCTCTTATATGCCAAATGAGATACCTGTGAGAATCTCTGGAAAATGCTATGTGTCAAGAAAAGAGATTCTAAATCCTTCCTATCCACCTAAGTAAGGAACCAGCATCTCTGCGGTCCAGGAAGCTGGAGCTTTGAGTAGACTCGAGCTTAGAAGGCAGTTCTAAGAATGCCACCAGCCAGGAACATTAACAATGCTATTACCACGGATCACAATTTGGAGCTAAAATGTTTAATGTAATATGAAAAATGCAAAGCCAAAAGAATTGAAACAATGAAAATAGGATTTTTACTAACAGCCCAAGATTTGCTCTGGGACCAACAACGTTTGTGGCTAACCCTTTACTCTACTCTTCAGAAGCTCTGTAAAGATCAGAGCAAAATAAGAGATTGAGAAAGCAGAAATATTGGCTCAAAATGTCTCATGCATTTATGGGTTTTAGTCTCCTAAATATTTCCTGCCATGAATTATTGTTATGGCACCTTAAATCGGGTTCAGCACTGTATTCAAATTCAGCAAGACAGACATCAGGAATGAGCGTGTCCAAAAGTGTATGCGTCCTTCCCTTCTGGAGCATGTACAGTGCAGACACTGGATTCCTAAGAGGGTGTCCAGATGTCTTCCTCCAGCCAGCAGCCGGGGCTCACCTGAGTCTGGTGACTGCTCTTCTTCCCAGCTTTATCTTGCACCACTCTTCCACTGGCTCCGTGCTCCAAGGAGACTGCTGTGCCCTCCCTTTTCTCTACCCTACATGCCCAGCACAGGTCTCTGTGAATACTTGGCATCTATCAGCCCCATCATTGTAACTGACCCACGTCTTCCCATACACACACTGAACTCCTTCCCAGCTCTGAGGTTTGACCCAGGACCCACACCATCCACGTTACGGGCATTTGCTCTTTGATGAAACCAGCAACAAGGATCTTCTCCTTTCTCCGACCATGCCCCACCCTCTTGACTGTTGCTTACTTCTCTTGAGCGTAGTTCTTTTTCTTGGTGTCCTCCTCTCCTTTTAGCCCATGAGAAACAGGTGCCTGGATCATCTCATGTATTTATGTGCATGTCCCTCCAGACCACTTCCACAATACCTTACACATCACATACAATGTTCTTGTTTTATTTTATTTTTAATGATTTTTGGTAGCACTGCTGTGGAATGAATCCAGGGCCATTGCACTGAGCTGCATCCCCACCACTATTTATTTATTTATTTATTTCTATTTTAAGACAAAGGTTTACTAAGACAGTAGGTTGCCCAGACTGGGCAGAAGCTTGCAATCCTACTGCCTCAGCCTTCTAGTGTGCTGTGATTTCAGGCATGCACCACTACGCGTGGTAGTAGTGTTCTTACTTTTCAGTAAGTAAAAATTACGCAAAATTCTTTAATCCTATGAACAAAGAAGACCTATATGGTTAACTAGCCAACCAGTTATTCACTTATATTGTTGAAGGTTATACTTTTCAGAACATTTCTAGAACTCTGCATATCTAGAAATGTCTGTCATCTTTGCACACTACATCCTCACTTTCCTATAAAAGGTTTCATTCTTCAGTTACTATTAATTTCCCCTCTCTGATGGTACACCCACAAAAGCCATGCAATCACTAATTAGTTGAATTCTTATTCTGATCTTACCTTTCTTAAATAATCTTGGCACAACCAAATTCCAAAATCTGAAATGTTGAGTTTTGTAGCAACGCAATCACATTTGTCTCATTTATCTCAGCTATTTTGTAACAAGCAGGTGGTTCTCAGGTTTGTTCCTGTCAGCATCCCAAACTCAAGCCACCCCCACTGCAATCCCATCTCTAATATCCAGGTCTCTCATCTTCGTGCCCTGAGAAGCTCAGGCTCTGGAAACTTGAAACCAGAGCCTCTGATTAGAGATGCCTGAGAAAGTAACCAGCCATAGGCTATTGCTATGTGAAAAAACAGATTCTCATGCTTGAAATAAAATCAGTATACAATGGGAATACAGGCCTTTCTTTTTCAAGGCAAAATTCATATTAATAGAGTCATTCTTTTGG